ACAAAACAAATAACAGAAAAACCTTATGTACCCTGGATAACTCAAAATATAAGAATTTTAATCAGACTAAGAGATAAAGCTCATAAAAAATTTCAAAAATCAAAATCATAGGCTCATTTTGAATATTATAAACAACTAAGGAACTATATAAAGCATGCAATTATCCGAGAAAAAAATACATACTTTAACTTACTCTCAACAAAGGTAAGGAATTTTGGGACACTACCAAAAAGCTCAACATAACATGCAAGAAAACTCACTCAACTATACCCGAACACTTACAAAATGTAAATGACATACACAATTACTTCCAGCAGACCGACAATTTACCAGACACTGCTTCCCAAGAATTAATCAATTTTTACAAAAACAATGTGAACATTAACGATTCTCTTAGCTTCCAACTGTTAGACAGGGCCAGTCTAATCAAAATTGTAACTAATATCTCATCAAATGACATTGGAGAGGATGGTTTCTCTATGAGAGACCTAAAGTTATGTATCCCATTTTGTACGAATGCCTTGCTGAATATAATCAACACATGTATTTTGGGGGGATTATTTCCAGAAATATGGAAGAAAGCTATTGTTAAACCCTTACCAAAAATAGCAGAACCTAAAGAATTTACAGACTTGAGGCCTATTAGCATATTACCCGCTACATCCAAAATTTTAGAAAGGCATATTTATAATCAAATTAGATTTTTTTGTGACACAAACGATATCATACCAGATAGTCAATCCGGTTTTAGAAAAAACTTTAGCACAAGTACATCATTAGTTAATATCTTGGATGATATCAGACATCATCAAGAACAAAAAAATAGTACGTGCATGGTTCTTCTCGACTTTAGTAAAGCGTTCGACACTCTGAATCATGAAATGTTACTAGCTAAGTTACATTACCAGGGGTTTTCACAGAACTCCGTAAATCTAATAAAAACATACTTAAGCAACCGTTCACACTGTGTTATGTTAGCAAATGATTCTGCTATTTACAAAACCGATTTTAAACCTATAAAAATAGGAGTTCCTCAAGGTTCAATTTTATCTCCTTTGCTATTTTCAATCTACATATCTGACATGGTCAAATCGGTAAAATTCGCAAAGATAAAACAATATGCAGATGACTCACAAATATATCTCCCTGTCAATAAAACTACAATCCATATTGCACAACAACAACTAAATTCAGATCTCCAAAGAATTGACACATTTGCAAAGCATCACAATCTTAAACTAAACCCCTCAAAATCGCAAGTAATGGTTATGAATAAAAACAGTACTGAAAGTGAACATTTTGAACAAAATTTAGTAATTTCTATTAACAATGACAGAATCCCCATAGTTCAGGAGACAAAAAATCTAGGCATTATATTTGATAGCTCGCTTGGCTTCGGCAGTCATATAAAAAACAGAACAAATTTAGCTTACATGCGACTAAAAAATATAAACAAATTAAAAAAACATTTATCAGCCAAACAAAAATATTATTTGTGCAATATCTTAATTTTATCACTTTTTGACTATAGAAATGTCGTCTATGGTGATTCGCTATCGTCGCGAACCAAAAAATGCATACAAAAAGTTCAAAATAGTTGCATGAGATTTGCATTTGGAATTCCATATCGAAACCATATCACTCCTTATCTGAATAACTACAACATATTAAACATGACAAATCGCAGAAAATATCACATGTATTCTTTTATCTATAGGGTTATAAAAACAGGTCAACCGCCCTATTTAAGAGAAAGATTTGTGCCTTTGCCTAGTGTCCAGAGAAGTAGAAATAATCTCAATTTTATCGTACCTAGGCATAGAACGCGTTCCTTCCGACAATCGTTTGCCTATGTGGCGGTTCACTTATGGAATAATTTACCAACTTCAGTTAAAAGCTCATCGTCAAAAACATTCTCAAAACTGACAAAAACGTTGTTACAGAATCACCAGCTACTTTAGCAGCGTTTGTGTGAGCAAAATAACGTTTTTACATTCCTACTCGCTGACAAGTTGTATAGATTTGTTTTTCGCGTCCGTTGCCAGCTCCCGGGGGTTCTCTCTTCGTTTTTGCCTTTTTTGTGTTTCACCGCCTCTTCATTTGCCTCTTTATTGTATTTTTTATTTTGTTTAAGAACTTTTAGGGTATTCAGGGCTTTCTCGCATGGACTCTTTGTATTAAAGGGTCCAATGTATCGGTTTTATAATCGAGAGACTGTCCTTTTTCGTCATTACTCTATATGTAGAATTTCTTTTGTTTATGATGTTTATTCATGACGAAATAAATATTTTGAATTTGAATTTGAATCTATACTAAATTATTGTAATATCGTATACTATACTTGTTTAGACAATTTCACTAAAAACGTTATTCAAGTTATTCAAAACAATTGTATAAGATTCATTTTTGGCTTACGTAAATTTGATCATGTATCGGCGAAATATCCCGTTCTAAACTGGTTAAAAATTAATGACATGGTCAAGTATCACTATTCAGTTTTTGTTCACAAATTGCTGCTCACGTCTAAACCTTATTACTTGAAGGAACAAATTTCATTTAATAATGATGTTCACTGTAGAACTCTCAGAGAAAATAATATTAGAATACCCCTGCATACGTCTACACTTTTTAAACGCAGTTTTTCTTACAATGTTGCTATCATTTATAATGACGTTCCTAAAGTATATAAAGAATTTTCATTACCTGTCTTTCGACAAAAAGTTAAAACATTATTACTCAACCCTCCAAACATATAATTTACGTAATCATTCATTTCTTTTTTATTCCATCTTTAATTCAGATTAATAATTTTTTGGTGCATTTGGGTTTGGAAAGTATGCCTTTTTCTCTTTTTTTTTAAATTTTACTTTCGATGTAATAAACCAAATCTGTTTGTGGATAGTGTATTCTTTTGAACATCTGCTAGAGACTATATGGTCAAGTGTAAGAGTAGCAGCATGCTAAACTTCGCCATGTAAGTCTGACATTTGGCTATACTACAATGTAATTGTGGATAAATAAAGACGTCTATTATTATTATTATTATTAAATAGGAAGAACTGAGTGAAGAACCTAAATTTAGTAGAAGCTGGATCGAAAGATTCAAAAGACGACATAACATTACCTGTGGAAAAATTGTTGGAGAGTCTGCTGCAGTTGATATGGACTGTGTGAATAACTGGTTGCGGAACAAGCGGCCAATCTTTAGAAGGAACTTCAAAGACGAGGACATACTCAATGCAGATGAAACTGGGTTATTCTATAAGCTTACACCTTACAGGACCTTGAGATTCAAAGGCGAGAGGTGCGCGGGTGGGAAGCTATCACTGTGCTTGTAGTGGCAAATCTAACAGGCACAGAAAAAAGAAAGCTATTGGTAATTGGAAGATCGAGAAACCATCGATGTTTTAAAAACGTTTCACAGTTGCCAGTTAATTATAATTCAACAAAAGAGCATGGATGACCTCAGAGATTTGTATGCTGAACTGCGTAATTGGGATCTTGAGTTACGCCGCGAAAAACGAAAAATTATATGGAGTTGTCCAAAACGGACGCAGGAAAGTAAACGTATATTAAAACAAGAAAGATTGATATTCAAATCAAGTTGGGTACTTTATTTTGAAGGTTCATTTATACCAGTTATGTATGAAAAATAATATCGCTGAAATGTTCACCACGACTGGATTTACAGACGTCCACGCGATGGTCGAAATGTTCAGTGACACTTTGCAACATGGTCGGTTCTATGGCATTTATCTCGGCAATGATGTTGTTTTTGAGTTCTTGGAGGGTGGCTGGTTTGTTGACGTAGACTTTGCTTTTCAAATATCCCCATAAAAAGAAGTCCAAGGGAGTCAAATCGCACGATCTTGGTGGCCATGGCACATTTCCTCTGCGCGAAATCACGCGATCACCGAAGAAGGACTGCAATCGATGAATATTGACGTTGGTTGTGTGGCATGTTGCACCGTCTGATTGGAAATAAACATCGTCCATATCCATTCCTTCAAGTTGCGGCAAAAAATAGTCCTCTATCATCACGTGATATCGCTCATAATTGACGGTAACGGCGTCCCCGGCCGCATTTTCGAAAAAGTAAGGTCCGATGATGCCTTTTGACCACAATGCACACCACACAGGCACTTTTTGAGGATGCATCGGCTGCTCTTGATATTCACGGGAATTTTCGTTCGCCCAGATGCGGCAGTTTTGCTTGTTTACCGTCCCATTCAAGGTGAAATGCGCTTCGTCCCTGAACATGATTTTTGATGAAAAATTGGCATCAATTTGGCGGTGTTCAGGGAGCCAATCTGAGAACGTTCGGCGCGAAAAATGGTCGGCCCGACCCAGCTCTTGCGTCAATTGGATCTTGTAGGCGTGTACATTCAAATCCTTGTGGAGAATGCGGAGCAAACTGGTTCTCGAAATGCCCAATTCTTGGGATCGACGCGTTGTTGATTGTTTCGGATCGTCTCTCACACTCTCCTTCACAACAGCAATATTTTCCGGTGTGCGAACGCTCCTTGGCCGGCCAGAGCCTGGCAGATTTGCCACAGAACCTGTTGCCTCGAATTTACGCACCAGACGACTGATGGTTGTTTCGTTTGGGCGGTTGTTGCGACCGAAATGTTCACGAAGCGCGCGAAACGTGTTTTTTATTTTTGCACCATTTTTGTAGTGCTCTTGAATAACTTTAATGCGGTCTTCAATCGAATACGACTCCATAGCGATCAATGGTAAACATTCAACTAACAAAATGACATGTCGGTGACAGAAAACAAAGATGGCGTCTATGTCAAATTGACGTTTACTTTCCTGCGTCCCTATTGGACAACCCTTTATTATTAGTGGATAATTGTCCAGCTCATCCAGTTGTTAAAAATTTGGACTGTATTAACCTAGTGTTCATACCCCCAAACACGAGTTCTAAACTACAGCCTCTGGATCAGGGTGTAATCCACAGTTTAAAAAGCCATTATCGTCAAGTTCTTCTCTCGAGAATGGTAGATTTCATTGATAGTGGCGGGGAACATTTTACAATCAATGTTCTGGATGCAAGAAACATCATTCATAGGGTATGGCAGAAGGTATCAAAAGAAATAATTTTAAATTGTTTTACGCATGGGGGTTTCTTGGAGATTGAGGATCATTTTGATCCCGACGATGACCTGTCATTAGCGGATGAAGAAAATTCAGCAGGAAGACGATCTTCGAGACCAATCTTCCTTATAGTGAAAATGCAGTTTGTTCATATTGATGACCAAGTTGTGACTGTCGAATACCTGGATGATGATGCCATTGTAGTTGCTATGTCTTCGGCAGTTGATACTGGTGATGACGAAGAAAAGGAAAATAAAGATGAAGAATCTGTCGGTATGGAACTGATACCAACTCCAACCACATCAGAAGCACTTCGACATATTGACAGCGATCGTCATTTTCTTCCTAGCTGAAGTGGAATTACATATTAATGATATTCATTTCACAAAAATAAACCAAACTAAAATAAATGATTCTTCTAAGAAAGATTTTCAAAAACTTTTATAAATGTGGATAATATATATTATTATATACTACTACAAACATTTTATATACCCCTGGTTGAATAATAAACTAATGAAAAATATTTTCTGGTATTAGCATTATTATTTATCGTTTATTACGCATATAGCGAACCAGTTTCGCCGGTCCCTTGAGGTTCGTTATAAGCGGACATTACTGTATATAAAAAGCTGGCGACAGGCAAGTTGACTCTGCACTTCCACACCATCTACAATTAAACCTAACGTACCCGCTAGATGGCTGCACATACGCCTTAGGATTATAATAAATAAACACTACTTACCATCGACGTAATCTGATCCATAAATAGCTGCCTTGCAGTGGGACACCGTGATACAATGTAGCAGAGGCAATGACACCAAGTTCGTGTTGACAAGCGCTGTAATGATCCCAGCTTTCGCCAATCCCAACCATATCCCAACGTATTCTATTCTGTTTTCTAGTAGTAGGGCTATAGAGTCGCCTTTCTGGTACCCTTCTTTTATGAAGTAGTTTGCTACTCTGTTACTGAAGTCTTCTATCTGCAATATCGAATATTGTTGAAAAGTTTAGAATATATCAATTCAATTCGTTATGGTTTGTCAGAAATCAGACAAGGCTGAGGAGGTATGTATGGTCTGTCCAAAAAATAACCGACCTGTTTAAATAGCGCGGCAACGGAGTATCATCGTAGCGTCGTGCAGTTTGGCAACACTGTGTTTGTCACAATTTCCAGCGTAAGCTACTCTGTGTGAATAATATGTAGAACCTTGCTCTTGCTTTATCGAAGTATATTGATAAGAAATGATCCATCAAATCTTTATTTAATTAAAAGCTTGAGCAAATATAATAATAGAACTATAAAAACATTGTTGAATGTAGTATTAAGGATAGGAAGTGTGAAAAAAGTCGTTGTGCAAGTGTTTAGCTCTATTTTCGGTATTGCACAATTTGATGAATGTAGATAACATTTATTGCTACTCTAGTGCTTTACTTATCATACGTTGCATTGTTTTCATTCTGAAAAGAAATAATCCATCAAAACTATTTAACTAAAAACTTGAGCTAATAAAATAATAGAACTATAAAAACATTGTTGAATGTAGTATTAAGTATGTAGATACTCTTTGTGCAAGTGTTTAGCTTTATTTTCGGTATTGCACAATTTGATGGATCTAGATAACATTCATTGCTACTCTAGTGCTTTACTTATCATACTTTGCATCGTTTTCATTCTCTGTTTCTGTAGAATTGTGTAATACAGAAGCACACTTTATGTATTCAAAATACTAGACAAATAGAAGATAAAAAGTAGTGTATCATCATAGAGATTGCAAATCACAACGTCCCCTTGAGTACATGTCTATATATGAAAAATAATCTTGTAATAACGTTTGCAGTGGAAGACAAAAATAGATCCTATAGATTTAATGGATGTATGTGCAGGTAACCGGATACTCTGGTAAACATGACAAAATGTGTGCTAGCTCTACAAAATAAGAACATCTACGACAACCTTTTATATTGCCCGACATTAAAGTACTGTAGTGTACTCTGGTTGGCAGCATAATTGCCCGTGTGAACTGCTCTTTACGAAGTTCTGAAAAAAGCTTACCGAAGAGGTGCCCTAATTGATTCACAGTGTTACTAATAGTTTTGCCGATTCAAGAGTGGTAATCAATCTGTTGAAGATGATCCTCACGCCGAAGACCTCCGATATTTACTGATGACACATCAGAAAATCTGTGATCTACAGTATATTCAGATAAGAGATAGACCGGATGTAAACAAAAGGTTCGGGTGATTTTCACGCAACGCCGCCGTCTCGACGTAAAACAGGAGCCCTCATTGGTCAATTCGCAATTAAATGCCTATGCCGAGCGGCAGAGCAGTCGTGTCAAGGCAGAGTCACATTCAGGTTCAGACGTGTTACGTATGTCGTGTGCATCATTGCAATTTGATATTTCTTTGGACGTTTTCGTTTGTTATCTTATTAAGTTGTTGAGTTTGTCGTTGTTATTGTTATACCTTGTTATTGACTGTTATTGTTATCAACTGCTTGCGCAAAATGCCCAGTAGTACAGATAGTGCCGATGAAGTTGTAAACTCCTGTAGTCCACCTAGGAAACGCTCTAAAAAAAGACACCTGAGTGCAGAAATGAAAGAGGTCATTTTGAATATATATAAGATCGAGCGCGAGGAGAACGAGGCATCAACCATCAAAGAAATTGTTGTGAAGGTTTCTCACAAAGTTGGGGTGTGTCGCGCATCAGTGTTTAATGTGTTAAGACAATACAACAAAAATCACACCTTTTCTGAGCCAATGACCAGTAAACATCGCAAAAGTATTGTTAAATCATTGGATGAAGCTGATAAGCATGCGATTAGGAGGAAAGTGCATGAATTCTTCTTTAGGAATGAAATACCTACTATAGATAAAGTACTGCAGGAGGTAAATGGAGATACAACGTTGCCAAATTTCAAACGATCAACTTTCCATGCGTTACTGAAGCATTTAAATTTCAAATGGAAAAAACGGGGTCGTAATAGTTTACTACTGGATAGAGAAGAAATTGTGCTATGGAGGAGGGACTATTTAACAAAAATTGGGAAATATAGAAATCAAAACAGGAAGATTTATTACCTTGATGAAACGTGGGTAAACGCAGGACACACTACAAGTAAAGTATGGGTTGATGATTCTGTAACTTCATCCAGAAGGGCCTTTCTAGATGGACTGTCCACCGGATTAAAAAATCCAGCAGGTAAATACGAGTAATAGACAACAATCGGATGTTTTTCAAACCTTGGGAACAAGGTTCTAAACATTAATTCCAGGGGGCAGATAAAACATATTACAAGTAACAAAACTTTTATAACTTCCGATAAAATGCGTGTATGTTTTATTGTCATTTTCATTTGTTAGAACTTTTTTAAGCCATGTTTTTATGTGTTTTCGATATTTCAATAATTTTTTAATATAATCTTAAAATATGTCGAATATTATAAACTTAAAAAAAGTTACTAAGTTTTATATTGTGTACCGTTCCTAATATTTCTAATCATTTTAATTCATACTTTAAGCTTTATAAAGTTATAATTTGTTAATATTAATATTTGCGCGTATTTCAGGTTCCTGATCATTCATTTTTTAAAGGTTTATAACTTTAAATTAAATTGTGAAGCGCTGAGTAATCATACGACGTTCAATATTCTTTCTTTCAATATGACTAAATAATCCCAATTATAGCAATCTGATACTCATGTCTCAATTTTTTTTCGCTGAATGTGATGAAAACATTTGAAAAAGGTTCGCTTATTGAAATAAATCTACACCAGTTAGTACTTCGATTTCCAGGTAAAGGGAAAAGGCTCATTATCTGCCATATTGGCAGTGAGGATGGATTTGTTGTTGACGGTCTGTGGTGCTTTGAGTCTAAGAAAACTGGAGATTACCACGAGGAAATGAATGGCGAATCGTTTGAACAGTCGTTTTCAAAAATTTTACCGAACTTAGAGGAAAACGCAGTAATTGTGTTGGATAATGCGCCTTATCATTCTCGAAGAATGGAGAAGGTCCCAACAACGGCTTCAAGGAAAGTTGATGTTCAAAATTGGCTCCGCTCGAAAAATATCAACTTTGAAGAAGCAATGCTGAAAGTACAATTATTAAGAATTGTCAAGGAACACAAGGCGGAATATCAAAAATACGCCATTGACGAAATGGCAGCAAGTCAAAATAAAACTGTGCTCCGTTTACCTCCATACCATTGCGAGCTCAATCCCATTGAGCTCATATGGGCAGAGGTTAAAAATTATATAGCTAAGCACAATACAACTTTTAAAGTTTGTGACCTCAAAGGACTTTTCAAAGAAGCACTAGAATTAATAACAGCGCAAAAATGGGAAAACTGTATTAAGCACGTGAGAGACAAAGTTGAAAAGAGAATGTGGGAACTGGACAATATTTTAGAGGAACAAGTCGAGCCATTCATTAATGACGTTGGTGCTTCAGGCAGTAGCGATGATGAAAGCTCATCAAGCTCATCTTTCCAATAAAAGATGTCGTTCATCAAATTCGGTAAGTTATAAGTAATTATAAAGCTACTGTATTTTTTAATTAATTATTGACATTTTTGAACCCATTTTGGCAAAACCTATTCAAGAATCTAATTTCTGACAATGTTCAACCATGCACATTTTTTTACGTTTTGAACGTTTTAATTTGGTTACATATTTACCTAGAAATCAAAAAATATACTAATCAATATTCTAAAAGCAATTTTAAGAGATATACGATTATTTTTAATTTAGGCTAATTTAAACGCCATTTTGAGATTGTATTCGACTGTATTTCACCAAACATCAGGCGGCATCCGAAGCAGGAAATCGAATCGAAAATTTTGAAATCCTTATGTATATTTACATCATTATATATTTCTTACCCCACCCCCACATGATCCTATATCCATCACCAATCGTATACACATCGAATTGTGCTAATTTACTACAAAGTTACGCAAAGCAGCATCTACTATCTAAAATATGTACTGCGTGACTCTTAATACGTCCCTGCCGAATGTTACAGCGTTCGATGATCACGTGGTCTTGTTTATGTCCGGTCTATCTCTTATCTGAATATACTGTAGGGCCTGATTCTGCTTGAAGTTCGACTGATGAAATTAATTTTGATGGCGCCTTGCCGTATCATACATATTTAATCCACTATGATGACTTAGACACTGCCATGATAATTTGACCGTAAAAGATTGCCAGAATCAGGTGACAAAATTATCATAGCGATTTATACAGTCTCAAAAGTTCCGATAATTTCTGAACTAATAATTATAGGAGTTTTTCCCAGCTATTTAATGATGACCTTGGATTTGCCATAGACAATGACATTCAAGGTTATTTCAAGGTCAAATCAATTTTTTAAATCGAACCTCCATTTTTGACCTCGTAAATGGAAAGAGCGGAGGAGGTCGTGGCCAAGGTCAAACCCAGGTACAGTGATATATGTTGAAAACCAGTAGTCGTCTAGGCCCCAGACTCTACCAAGACATGATTTTCATGATTTTTTCCCGGATATCCAATGATGCCCTTGGATCTGACCTTAAGGTCATGTGAAGGTCAAGGCGATTTTTGTAGCCTAAATGAAAAGTGGAGTCAATCTGCCTGGGGATTACATAGTTTTCTGCATTATCAAGAAGTTGAAGGTAAACTTGTGTTTGACCTTGATCAAGTGCTAAAAATGCACGAGGACATATTTGGACATAAAATTTTCTTTTTCCTTCATTTTCGTCCCTATTTTTGCGGTCAGGGTCCCATTAACAAAGAGTTGACCTTCAAATGAGCTTAAACGGCATGTCCAAGGTCACCATTGGATATCCAGGGAAAATTATGAAAACAATGTGTCTCTGGTTTTCTTATATGAACTGGCTTTCAAGCTATACCACCGGGTTTAACCTTAGCCATCACCTCGCAAGGTCAAAATTTAAGAATGGTCGATACCACATCTCATGAAATTTTCCGTACCTTTCGTTTGGTGGCTGGTTTCATTTAAGAAAATGAACTTGACCTTCAAATGACCTTGAAGGGTAGTGATTTCAGGGATTTCAGCAAAACTTGTTGCTCGTTTGATGGCAGAATTACAGGAAGAAAACTGAGTAATAGTTTATCGTGAGCTCCTTCAACAATGCGTAAACTAAAAAATAAAAATATAAAAATGAAGATCGGTCATTTTTTGTACAAACCTCGTACGTCCTCACGAATAATGGCCCGACTAGCTAAAACATATTATATATACCTCCTGAAATGTCCAATAAGTATCTTCAAAATGGAATGCCACCCTGTTTGGGTGTCTAGCTACGTGCGTTCTGAAAACTTTTGGAATTGTCATACCACTATCTACCCATGTTTTCAGTTGGTACTTTAATCTTCCAAATCGGACTAGAGCCCTAAAAAAATAAAAATAATGTCTTTCCACTGATTACATTACAGGAACTAAAATTAATATACTGTATCTATTGATATAATGAAACACAAGATTACCATGATACACATAATTCATTTCAAGGTCCACGATTTTGATAAAATCTTGAAACAATATTAATACACAAATATCTGTAATGGTTCCAGAACGCACTAAATCCCTTTTACTTCGTACGTCACTCGGCAAGGCAGTATTGTAAACGCGAAAAATTTCGAAAATGAGATATGTTTTTTTTGGATGTTATATATAACTTCAAAAATACTGCTCGGATTTGCATGAAATTTTTACACAGTGTTACAACTACGCCAAAAATAAAAAAGCTTTGTAGTTTTTGAAAACCGGCCCAGTGGCGGCGAAGAAAAACGCCAAAAACAAAAAAAAAATAAAATCTCTCAAATGTCGTTATTACTTGTCGCTATGTTTTTTATGCAACAATTCTTGAGAAGTGCATAATTTTTATATGCACGAAATTCATAGTAATGTATGGGAAGTACCGGACACATCTACTTAATTACATTTTAATGATCCATTATTGTTAAAAAAAAAACCTTGATATTCTATCTTAATACGTATATAATGAACGGGTAAGGTACTGATGCCAATAATGTAGTCGTTTTAGATTTTATTTTGTTAATACTAAATTAAGGTTCAAATGTGAACATAAATATTGATACCCTGATATTCACAATACACAAGATTCGGCTAGCAAACGCATACAAAGACTTTACATCATTGAACTGGAAATAACACGATAACGTTAATACATTTTGGAAAAATTAATTGGATGCAATTTTGGATAGGTCGAGATCCCCTTTTTGCAACAAAAGTATATGGAATTTTCAATACATATTTGTATATTCAGTCCCTTTCCACCAATTATTATTTTTGAACGGATCAAGTTGCATGGATTTTAGTATGAAAATGACAGTCAAAGATTTCAAGAATGCGGACGGGTGACAACTAGGATCATTTTTAAATGTTTATTTATGTATCGATTTGTATTTTCTATCTGCAGAAGCTTCTGCATCTGTATTTAAGCTGATTGTAAAACTAGTAGTAAACCTTGGTACTATCTTCAATCGCGTAGTAAACTTACACTTTTATAGCGAAGATAACATTATGGTCATAAATCACTACAATCAACAACCAAATATTTATGCTATCAAACCGAGGAACTTGCGAAGCTCGTTTGCAGCCTTTGTACAATCGTATGAGTATATATCTATTTATCTAGCACTTATTTTCAGTATATCCTATAAGAAAACTTACGTCAGGTCCCTTGGTAGCGTTTTGTAAATAATGTACAGGTACCTGTACCTCCTGTTCGTTAGAAAGAACCATGATATGATGAATATTAAGGCTAGGATTAAAACCTGCAACAAACAGAAAACAGTGATTTATACAAGGGTTGGCTCAGAAATAGGGTTCTCGACGCTGTAGCTTTGTCGCGCGTGATGCTAGGCGAAATCTGGCAACACCGTCGGGTTTGTCGGCTTCCCCACCACCGATCCCAACAAGAAACGCCTATTGGCGATGCTCCGTTCTGGCCTCACAGGCATGCGCAATGGAGGCCTTCATCGCCGTCACCGTTAGGTGAGAAATTCCAATTTTTGCACGCAAAAACGTTACCACCCATAGAAAATCATCGTTAGTTGAGTGAAATATATGGGAAACCTGTATACAGGGTGTCCGCAAAGTTGGGGTTTTCCTTTTCAGAAACAACTACCCTTGAAATAACAAAGGTAATGTGTAGTGAAACGAGGGCGACCAAGTAAAAAAAAATAAAGGAAAAAGTACTCACTCTCCAGTTGACGAGAAGGGCTAAGTACGTCTCTGCCCGAAATCATACCGCTCCAACAGAAAATGAAATCGGCTGATGCGCTACCGAGTAGACGCCGGCGGTGGTGCAGACCACGAACAGAGGTAACAAATATGACGGCGTTGCCGCGTTTTCAGTTTTTAGGTAAACGTACTTTATAAGTATTGTTCGAAGTTAACGCCGTTTGATTCAAAAACACAGGTGCGTGCACGATGTAGCCAAGCATCGGTGCAGGCTTTGAGAATGGAGTCCCTCCCCCGAATGAAAGCACCAGCTTGTTCAATTCTGAGACGAAGTTCGTCAACCGTATGCACTTCAGTTTTGTACACTAAGCGTTTCATTTCTCCCCAAAGAAAAAAATCACATGGTGTTAAGTGTGGAGAACGCGGAGGCCACGCTACGGGTCCATTACGTCCGATCCACCTATTCAGAAATAATTCATTCAAAAACTCACGCACTTCGCGTCTAAAATGGGGCGGTGCACCATCGTGCAGAAACCACATTGATTGTCTTACACTTAATGGCACATCTTCTAACAAGGAAGGCAAAATGTTGCGTAAAAAGTCTAGGTATTGCATCCCGTCCAATCGATTTGGGAGAATAAATGGTCCGTTAACCATGCCAGCCCGAACATTCACCGAAAATGTTTGTTGAAAATGTGCCCGACGGACAGCGTGCGGATTTTCTACTGACCAAACATGAGTGTTGCGAAAGTTATTCACCCCATTACGCGTGAACGTAGATTCGTCTGTCACCAATATGCACTTCAAAAGGTCCGGATTATTGTCATGTTGATGCAACAACCACTCACAAAACCGCACTCTTGCTGGAAAATCGTCAGGTTGAAGGGCTTGTACACGTTGGACGTGAAACGGATACAGCCCCTCTTCACGCAGCGTTTGCCACACTTTAGTTTTTGATACTTGCACTTCTCGCCTACGCGATTACCTCTACACGCGTGACCGTAACCGTCGGTTGAAGGCTGCATACTGACCTAACACACTGACCCAGTTCTGTCGTCGGGTTGAGCCAGTGATCTTGTACCACTTGGTGATGTCGCGGGTCGCGGCTACAGGACGGTATTAAGATATTTTTGATGTTGCAGAGCCCTTTATCTCGGTTCCCTTAAGACATTGGTGTATATGGTACTAAGCAAAATTGCTTATGTTTTCAAGACCTACACGTCGTGTAAAGGAAAACCCCAACTTTGCGGACACCCTGTATAAGCATTCAACATGTCCTCAAATGGTGAAGAGAGTTTTTTTTAAATAATAGATTCGGGGAATGAAAAACTAGTTAAGTCGTTTGAAAATGTATCTGTCGATGTTTGAATTAATGTTGTTATGAAGAATAAATTTATTGCGTAAATTGAGATATTCCTATTCTAACATTTTAAATCTGGGGTCAGGTTTAGAATTTTCGTCTATTCTTATAAAGTGCCTGCACTCTATGTTACCCGCCATGACGAAATACAACAAGAGCTTTCAGTGAGTTTACACACGATAGTAGTGTTGACTTAGTTTTGTTAGATCTATAGCGGTTTTCTACTTTAGGAATGTTATCAACTGTATACTTTCATAAATATGAAACTCATAAAAACTGGATGATATCGACATTCATCATATACACTAAGTGACATATAATAAAGAGCACCCAGTAATAATGAATTTATTTAAATAATTTACTTCCCACGCCTACAAAATATATGTTTTTTGGATGTTTTATGCCATGAACATTACGAAAAACCGTGTCACTCACTTATTAGGCATAGCCCCACGGTACCCCACGGGTGTTTAGGCCTTAGTCCTTCGTGGTAGTTGGAGTATAAAAGAAAATATATATTTCACTCATCATAGATGTTCCCGTACGTTTACCCTTAAAACTTAGTAAATATCTCCTACAGTCGAGTGTCGATACTTGTGACGTGTCTCCGGGATGGACAAGCGTCGTCGTCGGTGGTCGTACGTTGCAGTCGGCAATCGCTGCGTGTACTGTGAAGGCTGAAATCGTCATTCGCCCGGCAATTATTCTCAGTAGGAGGAAGAAGGTCATTTAATTTTTGGCTATACATATTCGTGACCAGCTTTTTTCTCAGGACTAATTTGTGCCATACATAATCCTTTACGAACTGATAGTGCGTGGGAAGTACGTCAACTTTCTTGACGCCATTTTATCTACGTCACTTAGTATACAGGGTGGCGCATCGAAAACGATAAACAACAAAATTATAAACAAACCATGCGCATAGTGAAGAAAAGCATTTACTTATTAAGTAAAATCTTTTAGTCAAATTTCTTCTGAAAGTAGTAAAAACTAATCTGATGTACCTATTAAAGTCTAGTTTAAGCTTTAAATCAATAAATCTTCAAAACTACTGAACTGAAGCTCATGCATTTTATATAATTATAAAGGGAATTGAAATACCTTTAAAATAAGCTATCACTCGACCACCCTTTCCAATTTAAGATTTTAGGGTTGGTGTCACCCCCGCCCACGAGGCAGCACGTGTTAACGTGATTTTTTGCCAAACTTGTGTACCCCTCGAAAACAAAATCGACGGGTCTGAGCGCTTTTCCAAAAAAAAACTGAGCGGCCAGTAAATGCGTCTGTTTCGTTTTCGATGCGCCACCCTGTATATTAAATTATTGTCCGTTGAATTGAAGCATTCACGTTTAACATACGTATTTCCAGCAAGTTGGTTCGCAAAAATTCAGTTCTGGGAATATATGGATTTGATTTCCAGAATCACAATTTACGAATAGCGGTGGATCTTCAGGCCTGATCAAAAACATAGTAGCCGCAGCTAATATATTTTCGATCACGAAGCATAATAGATTATTATCAAGGGAATCTCTGAATATAATTCGGTTTGGCAACACCGTATCCTTCATTTGCTTGGACTGCTCCATGTTGCCAAATCCAATGTTTTTCAATCAAGTTTAAGAGAAATCCCTCGTATCGTGGATAGGCATCGTATAAGCCAGAAGACAGACCTGTGGAAAATTGAGGTTTTCCCAGTGGATGGAAATACTCGCATCGACTGAGTATCATAAAGCCTACCCTATCCAATGATACGTAGATCGCAAAGCCTGACTTCTGGCTACTGATCTTCTTACCGTAGGATTTGACTTTGGCTACTTGAGATTGAAGATTTTGCTTATTCAGGGTGACTTTGAAGTTGAGTCATTAATTTTCAGATAATGATTGTAGAAGGAAGATAAACCAAAATATGTGTGTAAAAATAAAAAAAAAAATTTTACCTTGTTTTATAAAGTATCCTCCCGACAAGTATTTCAGTGCGGACCTGTATTTGATCGTGAGGTCTTGGAGCACCGGCATGCCGTCACCTGATTCACGAGCCCGTTGTACTACATTAACAAAGGCACGAGGGGTTGGTTGCACTCGATTGGGAAACCGATCCGCATAAACATGTGCCATTTTTTATTTCGTTTGAGCCACAAAACAGATACCACTATTCACTCACGCGTTACCGACTGACACTGACTGTATACAAATGAATAAAATAATTGTAAAAACATCGTTCCAAATTCTTTCGCTTTTTTGTTTCCGATGCGATGAACCGATAAGGCGGATTATATCCGTTGTCGCCAAACACGAGCACATAATATTATTATTGAGACAGGGCGGTACTCAAACTTCCAAAGGGCTATAAATTTGTTACTTTAATTTTACCAGAAAAATGGTAAAGGAAAAAACATTATTTTTTAACAGATCTACTTACTGTTAAAATAAATGACTCAACTTCGAAGTCACCCTGTATTTCTTATTTTAAATAAGAGATCAGAAGAAAATTGTTCACCATTTGAATGTTCATGCAAAAATTGAATATGTAGACTTTCAGTGGATTTTGTCGATGAGCGCGTGACAATATCGCTTACAGTTCTCTACTGCCTTCCAATTTGAAACCGTACTATAGTTGTTGGAAATCTTTGGCCTCGCAAGGTGAACTTGTTATTGCATGATGTAGAGATCAAAGTACCGAAAGAACTCGGTTCAGACTCCATTGATATACAGGTTGAGATAATGGTAAATAATAGATAATGTGCATAAATTAGTAGCTAAAAA